CTTTGATACCACTTAAATGACAAGCTGTAATTGGATTTAAAATTTCTCCAACGACCTTTCAATTTTCGCATCGGACAGCGTGGATGAAACGCGTCACCCCTTTCCCCGTACGCAGCCTCTTTCGTCAAATTCTGGCAGGGGACGGCGCGAGCGAGTTGCAGGGGTTACTTATTTTGATTCGATTGTAAGATCTAGGCCGTTGATGGTAAAACGCTTTGCGCAGATCAAAAGAGCACAAAATTTGGCGTGCATTAGGCCTAGTAGACTGCTCGATACTTGCAATTCAACCGAACACAAGCGCGGAATCATTTACATCAACATGGCGCATTCGAGTTTTTCCTAAATTTTATGATTTCTCGTGTTTTTGGTGTTTTCACTGCACCTTAATATTAGGTAAAAGGGGGGGGGAGGGTTGGAGAAGTTCTGGTGTACACATGAGTACGGGTGAGTACACCTTGCTTTACTCATAAATTTCACAATTTTAAACGTTTACAGGCTTTATTTGGCGTTTTTAACGGCACTCGACGTTAAATCGGTTGAAATACTAGAGAATTTCACGTTTTTAAAACTTGGGAGTACACTGAGTACGGGCAAATTTGTACACATGAGTACACTAGTGATTCACCCCTCGGTCAGGCCCCCTTGCTTGGCAAAGAGGCATTTTTTTTAAGAAGTCCGATCGTGGAACACGACCGATGCCGATTTCCTCCATTTTTTGGTCAAAGGTAGTCCTTGTGGGTCTTAGAAAGGCCACAAATTTTTTGGGTCGAAATATGCACCGTTCAGATTCTATGGGCAATTTTCGTTTTCTCTGACAACTTTTCACATAATATGGCCAAAATTGAAAAATCACCTTTCTGAGGCCTCTATGCACTCGATTGAGCTCAAAATGTGGTATCTTATGTAAAATCACGCGAGGAACACGAATCCGGTGCCCGTTTGTTGATAGGACAACCCAAACAGATGTTATGACTGTTTTTCAGGTTTTGTAGTGGTTTTTACTTTTCTTGGGGTTTTGGTGTTCGGCATCGATTTTCGCCAATCCGATGAGTGGATTTTATAGATAAAGGACCAATCTATCATACTACGAGATAAAAAGTTTGTGTACGCCGCGTGAAAAGCAGTGGCGCTGCAAAAATTGAAAAACCGTCATTTCTGGGTAGTTTTAGATCAGATAAGCCACCTTTCGCGTGACCGTCTCCGCCCCATATTCAGTCTAAATATTGTCCCAAGTGATGTCAGAGTTGGTGTGAAATTTCACCGCTGTAGCTCAAGTAGTTTGGAAATGGCAGCTTTCTAAAGTTTTGCAATCACGTAAGGCATTTACTGTAAGTGGAATTGCGGTAAATGTGAAGACTTGTCACAGATCGGGTAATAAATGAGGTAGATGAGTGCGTCAAAGTTCTCTAAGCGTAATTTTGGACAAGGAATCCGATTTTGCTGGTACGAAGACCCTAGGCGAACTCTGAAGTTGGAAAAAAGGCCATTTTTATGTGGTTTGCACGAAAACGTAGTTTTAGAGTACACCTAGGGCCTTCGTACCGGCAAAATCGGATTCCTTGTCCAAAATTACGCCTAGAGAACTTTGACGCACTCATCTATCTCATTTATTACCCGATCTGTGACCAGGGGCGTAATTAGGCGGGTCGAAAGGGGGGGGGGGCGAATGTTTGAAAAGTTGCCTACCTTCAAGGAGCCTGTGTCTGATAGGTAATTTTTAGGGACGTGGTTTTGGGGGAGGGGGGCTAAATTCAAAACAACGTTACAGAAAATTGAGGGGTTGTTACAAAGTTTGAAGAGGATTCACTTTATTCTACATTTGTTTGGACTCATAGCGAGAATTTAGAATTAGATAGCTCTCAGCGAGCGAAGCGAGCCAAAAGCTATAAATGCTTAACTGTCTGAAACGTTGTTTCCGAGTCCTACAATGGGGAAGACTTTTTCGTCTAGAAGGGCTGGCGCACTTGCTTCCCCCCACTTGCCACGGAGCCGAAATTTAGAAGAGGCTTCCTGTTGCGAGCGAAGCGAGCTAAAAGCTATAGCCTTGTTGAGCGGGAAATGTTATAATTTGGGGGTCTTAGTCCTAGGGTTCCAGGAGATTTTAAACATTACCAGGTACATATTTTGGTTGGCCAGACAAACAAATGGTTGAAAATGAAAATACGTTGCAAACAAATTTTCTTCCCGGCCTAAGATGGTTAAGGATCGAAGAAGGCATCACATATATCAGTCATAAGGTACCTCAATCCTGTTTATTTGCCAGCGGAGAGGACCCAGAAGCAAGTTACCTCCAGCGAGCGAAGCGAGCTAGAAGCCAATGCCTAAGTGTGTCCAAAATGCGAGTTGTTCGGGCCAGGCTAAGGGACGATTCCTGACTAACTGCTATTTCTTGGGCCAATCGGACCCAGTAAGGGCAGTACTTTTGGCCCCCTTCGGGGGCCAAAGGGGGGGCGGGCGATCGCCCCCCCCGCCCCCCCCCTAATTACGCGCCTGTCTGTGACAAGTCTTCACATTTACCGCAATTCTACTTACAGTAAATGCCTTACGCGATTGCAAAACTTTAGAAAGCTGCCATTTCCAAACTACTTGAGCTACAGCGGTGAAATTTCACACCAACTCTGACATCACTTGGGACAATATTTAGACTGAATATGGGGCGGAGACGGTCACGCGAAAGGTGGCTTATCTGATCTAAAACTACCCAGAAATGACGGTTTTTCAATTTTTGCAGCGCCACTGCTTTTCACGCGGCGTACACAAACTTTTTATCTCGTATTATGATAGATTGGTCCTTTATCTATAAAATCCACTCATCGGATTGGCGAAAATCGATGCCGAACACCAAAACCCCAAGAAAAGTAAAAACCACTACAAAACCTGAAAAACAGTCATAACATCTGTTTGGGTTGTCCTATCAACAAACGGGCACCGGATTCGTGTTCCTCGCGTGATTTTACATAAGATACCACATTTTGAGCTCAATCGAGTGCATAGAGGCCTCAGAAAGGTGATTTTTCAATTTTGGCCATATTATGTGGAAAGTTGTCAGAGAAAACGAAAATTGCCCATAGAATCTGAACGGTGCATATTTCGACCCAAAAAATTTGTGGCCTTTCTAAGACCCACAAGGACTACCTTTGACCAAAAAATGGAGGAAATCGGCATCGGTCGTGTTCCACGATCGGACTTCTTAAAAAAAATGCCTCTTTGCCAAGCAAGGGGGCCTGACCGAGGGGTGAATCACTAGTGTACTCATGTGTACAAATTTGCCCGTACTCAGTGTACTCCCAAGTTTTAAAAACGTGAAATTCTCTAGTATTTCAACCGATTTAACGTCGACTGCCGTTAAAAACGCCAAATAAAGCCTGTAAACGTTTAAAATTGTGAAATTTATGAGTAAAGCAAGGTGTACTCACCCGTACTCATGTGTACACCAGAACTTCTCCAACCCTCCCCCCCCCCTTTTACCTAATATTAAGGTGCAGTGAAAACACCAAAAAACACGAGAAATCATAAAATTTAGGAAAAACTCGAATGCGCCATGTTGATGTAAATGATTCCGCGCTTGTGTTCGGTTGAATTGCAAGTATCGAGCAGTCTACTAGGCCTAATGCACGCCAAATTTTGTGCTCTTTTGATCTGCGCAAAGCGTTTTACCATCAACGGCCTAGATCTTACAATCGAATCAAAATAAGTAACCCCTGCAACTCGCTCGCGCCGTCCCCTGCCAGAATTTGACGAAAGAGGCTGCGTACGGGGAAAGGGGTGACGCGTTTCATCCACGCTGTCCGATGCGAAAATTGAAAGGTCGTTGGAGAAATTTTAAATCCAATTACAGCTTGTCATTTAAGTGGTATCAAAGTGTCCGGAAAAGGAAATTATTGGTACCCATCCGCCTCAACTCAAAAGTCAAAATCAAATTTTAAATTTTGAAACTGGAGGTAGACGGACTCCAGGGTGAGCCCAGGCGAGCCGCATGCGACGCCGGTCGGCCGCTTCCCCCTCCATGCCCCGCCTCGGTTTTCTCGCTTGCACTGTGCGGGTGAGGAGGCAGGGACGGACAATGACGTCTGTTGGAGCGCACGGAATGGCCCGGGCTGCACCGGCCGCGCCGCACTGTCTGGCCATCGATACTGTCAAAACGCTCCACGCTGTCACTGGCCAGAATGCACGCACTGGGCTGGGAATCAGTGAATGTGACGTCACCGACGTCACGTTCGTTCAAACGAGAATCGTGTCACGTTCGTTTTAATATACCTAACCAGCCTCGTCCAGGAGCCGATTCACGTTCAAACGAATGTGACACAGTTTTCAAACGAATGTGACACAGTTTTCAAACGAACATGACACGATTTACGTTTAAAGGAACGTGACGTCACATTCCGTGATTCCCAGTGCGGCTGGTATACTGACTGTGGTGCCATCTCTCGGGAAAAGGCTACACTACACTCAAAAAAATTTCAATACAAAATTCTGTAACATGGTTACGCAGTAATTTCCACTACAGATGTTACAGAATTTTGTATCAGCACTGATACAAAATTTTGTATCACGCGTTACGGTAAACTGTTTCCCGGTTACAGAATTCTGCAATGCAAAATTCATAAAAATTTGTCGTTTTAAAAACAAAATTTGAACCTCAACGATCGTTCGTTCCTACACATTCGCTCCGTCGCTCCTGTACTCCCGAACACCCGGAGAAACCGAACTGCGTTCTCCGGAACCGAACCCCGGTCCCCCGGATTGCCAGCTCGGCATGCTCAAAAACAATCCAGGTGGCGTATTCCGTGCAAGTACACCGTTGCACAACAAGGACGTCATCAACAGTGTAGTTGCAGGCATGCTCCACCATGCCGTGTACTTGATAAGCATGCTCCAGCGTGGAGTATACATGCCAGGTTGGCTCAAGGTGGAGTGTACTTGCAGGCATGACTTCAACCTGAAGCAACACACTTGAGTTTGTAGAGTATTTAAAGCCAAATTGCCTCACCATTCCTCACCTTAAGGCATTGTTTACGACTGGGGAACTACGTGGCATTCCACTACGAGGCAAGTGTAGGGGTTTTTTGCCTTCGCCGCTCCCAGGCGGAAACGGAAGCGATATTCTCCATATTGTAGGATGGGCACGGCGGGGAACGCCCAGTTGACTGATTCATTCTTCACCTCGTAATTTCCCTGCACGCAAGAGACACATGTGAACACACCTCATTGAAGCGGAGGTTGCCGATTTGGCGTGCCTCCGGCGTGGCGATGCCATTTGGGGCGTGAACTGCTCAGTCACTGTTCGTATCCGTGCAACAACCACCGATCTGAAACGGGTGTCCCCAAAAACCACCGATCTGATTCTAGGTTTCACAAAAACCACCGATCTGATTCTGGATCACGGAAAACTATCCGATGTACCATTGTCAAGAGTTCCGAGCTGAAAATACGTCCCTACAGTTCTCGTTAAGCTGAACCAGTACATTTTTTACGGCTCGGTTGAATGAACTCCTCTGGTTTTAGAGGAAAGATGTGACATAAATTCTCTGCATGCACCTTGTGCACTTTCTCCATGCGAATGAAAGCTTGTGACAGCTCGGAATCAGCCAGTACGCAGATTGGTGGTTTTTAAGGAACCTTGAATCAAATCGGTGAAACCTAGAATCAGATCGGTGGTTTTGGTGAAACCTAGAATCAGATCGGTGGTTTTGGACCGAGGGGGCAATAGACTGTCCCACGAAAAATTCGATGTTTGAAAATGCCACCTCTCACCCCGGACTTAAGTTCTTTATGTAAAAAAAGGACTCCATGATTTTTTTCAGAATTTTTGAACAGAATTTAGAGGTCGCGCATCGGCAAAAACCAAAAACACGGTTTTTGCCATTTTTCTCGAGCTTTTAAAAATGCCCTACCACCACACCACACCCAGCCCCACCCCCTCCCCTTAGTTGGACTTCTAGTGAGCCCGTGACGTCGTTCTGTAGGACACCTGTCCCTCCTAAGCCCATATAGACCCTCAAATCGACACCCAAAACGATAAAAATAAGTCGAAAATTTCATAAAAAGCTGCAAAAGTTGTGCAAATGTTGTGTTTTTTGATAATCTGACATCACAAAACGATAGAGCGTGAAAAATTACGTAGGGGTGAAGACAAGTGAGCACGCCACACGGTCAGTTTCGGTTACATAAGCGCGAGCGAAATAGAACGCCCCCGATTTATTGTGTGGAATGATGGCGTCCCGACGGAAGAAGAGGTTGCACTGGCTTGTCGGTGCTGGCTTGTAGCTTCATGATGAGCTACGTCAAACAGAGTTTCTAGCTGGTCTATGATTGACTGTTTCCTTAGCTCGAAGGTAGGTGAGCCTGCAGCCTCGTCTTCCGTCGGGACGCCATCATTCCACACAATAAATCCCAAAACACAAACGACGATTCAAAACAACGCTCGCTGGGCGGTTCGTTTCGTGTGCGCGGCAAAGCGCGCGAAAAGGCGGCGATGTAGTTGCCGTGGCTACCGACAGGTGGCACCACCAGCGACCCGCACCATATATTTGTAATTTTAATACATGCAGAGCTTTTATTTCGTCAACTTTAATATAAAACAATCATCAGATGATTCTTGACATCCCACAAAAGGAATAAAAGCCCCACGCTTCAAGTTTTGCACAGGAAATGTATGAATTCGTGGAGGCGTTCTATTTCGCTCGCGCTTATGTAACCGAAACTGACCGTGTGGCGTGCTCATTTGTCTTCACCCCTACGTAATTTTTCACGCTCTATCGTTCTGTGATGTCAGATTATCAAAAAACACAACATTTGCACAACTTTTGCAGCTTTTTATGAAATTTTCGACTTATTTTTATCGTTTTGGGTGCCGACTTGAGGGTCTAGATGGGCTCAGGAGGGACGGGTGTCCTACTGAACGAAGTCACGGGGTCACGAGAAGTCCAACTAAGGGGAGGGGGTGGGGCTGAGTGTGGTGTGGTGGTAAGGCATTTTTAAAAACTCGAGAAAAATGGCAAAAAACGTGTTTTTGCCGATGCGCGACCTCTAAATTCTGTTCAAAAATTCTGAAAAAAATCATGGAGTCCTTTTTTTACATAAGGAACTTAAGTCCGGGGTGAGAGGTTGCATTTTCAAACATCGAATTTTTCGTGGGACAATCTAGGGGGCAACCACATTGGATGCTTGGGGACACAAGATTTCTTAAGGGGAGGTTCTTTTGAAAATCTTACTTTCTCCAAATTGAGTCCCATTATCAATATTCATTGTAAATTTAAAGTATTTCATAGTAAATAGATAAATTTGAAGTTTGGAGAGCAATACCTAGCCCCCAACCCAGTCGAAGAGGAATTTTCTGCTATTTCCAGTCGTAACTTGAAAAATTCTCCTACGCAAAGTATTTCAACGTAAACTAATGTTCTGGGCATTTTTCACTTCTTTGGTTCATAATTGATAAACCGTGGCATTTGTAAGATACTGGGACTATTACAAAATCATAAGCTGTGTTTTTAAGACAGCATGTCAATAAAATTTCATGAAAATGTTAAAAATTCTGATATTTTGGTGTCTTTTTTTCTGAAAAGCAACGTCAAAATAAATTTGTTGGGTACCATGTCTTGGTGATGCCACGCTTTATTGCATATGAGCCAAAGAAGTGAAAAATGTCCAGAACATCAGTTTACGTTGAAATGCTTTGCGTAGAAGAATTTTCTAAGATATTGCTAAAATAGGCTGAAAAAACCTCTTCGACTGGATTTGGAGGGAGGTATTGGGCTCTAAATTTCATGTTTGACTATTAACTATGTTTTACTATACATCTGCAACAAATTTTTACACTGGGGCTCAATTTGAAAAATGCAATATTTTCGGTAGAACCTTCCCTTAAAGCTAAAGATTTCGTCAGATTTCGCAAGATTTTAACCGATATTCGGCCCAAAATGAGCCCGTTGTTGGCCTTTTTTGTGGGGGCCGGGGCAAGATTTCAGGTTTCCCAGAGATTTCTAGGGCTAAGGGGACACAAGATTTCTAGAGTGGTTGCCCCCTCGTTTTGGACACCCGTTCCAGATCGGTGGTTGTTGCACGGATACGACGCACTTCTCTCTTTCTGTTAAGTAATTAGACGTCTGATGGTAACAAGAGTTATTGGTTAAACTGTTTAACAGGTTGCAAACCTACTGCGCATGTCCAAAAACACTCCGGTCAAGAAGTATTGTTGGAGTTCTACCCGAAAAACTGCGTTCGAATCGACATCAATTCTCTTGTTGCATCTTCTCTAGCTGCAGTCAAAGAGATTTTTCATTTCGAACGTGTTATTTGAGCTTTTGAAGTAAGCTGTACAAACGAAAAAAAAAGCCCGGCTATTGGTCCGCCCCGGCTCGGCTCCCCCCACTCCTTTTTTTTCTTTGAGGAGTCGAGTTTTGCCATGGAAACGGTGATTTTAAAAGCAAATTTCTCAAAATTTGCGGTTAAATTTTTAACCACACTTCAACATCAGAATCAGCGTTCAACGTTGTACTAGTCTGCCAAATCTCATTCAAATCCTATGGAAAATTTCCAAAATGCATAAAGGGCCACGCGAATTGAATCTCCCGCCGGCTGAACCCTGGGTATACTTTAAGGCTACTTCGTGCCTAAAAGAACGGAAAAAGGAAAAAGAACGAACATAGAACAGCTTGAGGGGTTCTATGACGGTTCACACGGTTTTTGCCACCGCTTAATGTAATTATGCCTTAACAGACCTAAGAAAAACGCTACGTAAAATGTGAGGGACCCGTGAGAGGAAAGTCAAAGGTCACTAACCGGAGGAATGTCGCACGGCCCATCTTTGGGCAGTTTGAACACGGTCGAGTAGAAACCGGGTATGTTTTTCCTCAACGCCGTGCACGAGCCCGCTGGAAACTTGAATATTAACGCGTTGTCCTTCCACATGTTGTTCGATCGTCGGTCCAGGTTAACTTGAGCCTGGATACGTGTTCAACAGAAATGTTTCACTTTGAAATTATAGCTTCACTGTCATTCTGGGGTGCTCTGAAAGTTGGCGTCTTTTGACGCTTGCCTTAGGTTTTGTAGCGCCTTTGGGCGCCTCGCCAGGAGGCGCCTAAAGGTGCCGTTTCTCGAGGTGCCTTAGGCGCTGAGTTTCGGGACACCTTGTTCCCTACGGATGCAGTGCAAGGTGTTAGCTGTCCATACACCTTTGTGGTTGCATTGCAAGTGAAATGCATGACAACATAGGCCACACTGCATTGGCAAGGTGCTTGGACCCCTGTCAGCTGAGGCCTGGGCAACAGTTCGAGCCTTGTTCATTACAGTGCGTTGGACCAAAGGTGTCTCGAAACATACCTCCTGGCGAGGCGCCTAAAGGCGCTACAAAATCTAAGGCAAGCGTCAGAAGACACCAACTTTCAGAGTACCCCTGAATAACGGTGTATTGACCATCTCTGCGTTTCTTCATGCTTTGGCCCTGGCTCTCCTAAAGAGTGAACGTGACGATTGTAGAACCATTGACACCTGTTAGTCTACTTTCCAATCTATATAAAGGAGCATACATGGCCTAATGTCTTTCTAGGTACAAACCTATTTCTAGCATGCCTGTCAAGTAGACGAGAAGCGTCATTCTTCAGGTTGAATCTTTAAAAAAATCAACCGTACTCTTTAGTTTGTAAAGCAATAGTAGTGTGAGCCTCAAGGGCGCACGGCACAAACGGTTTCTAGTTTTTCCTGAAAGTTTATAAACACGCTTTAAACCTTAAAAAGTGCTTTGAGTATAATTTCCGAGCTATTTAGTTTTGCAAACGAAGAAGTAGTTCGTGAATTACGAAGTATTTTCTATGAAAGCTTATGTATGATGAAAGTACTTTGTTATAACAACCTCCTTCTCTTTATAACGCCGAAAGTAGTTTGAATGGTTATCAGGGTACAGACGTAGGGATTTTCTAGGAAAACAGGGGACCGGTTTTACCATGTGAATCTTACCCAGCTTGAGTCTGTAACGTGGTTAATGGAGCCATTCAGCCACCCAGTAAGGCGTTGCAGCTCGTTCGGCTTTGCAGGATTCCAGTGGGAGTGCCTCAGGTTCCAGCGCCAGTCAAGGCTATCACCCTCTTCACACATGTAAAACCTGTCTGCGTAGGCGATGTACTTTCCCTGAACAGTTGAAAATAAAGCGAGTAGAAAGATATTCACTGTACACGGAATGGTCGGACACATCAACGCGTCCGAATAGAATAATCCGAACTGTAAGAGCAGATCCAAGACAATCCTAACTGTCAGAGCAGATTTAGAACTGTCCTAACTGCAGAGAAGCTTAAAAGTGTTCATGAACTATCTTCACTCTCCACTACACATCAAAGAATCTCGATATTTCGGAAGCACAAGTCCACGTATCCGTACAAGGACGAAACTTTGTAACAAGCCTCTTGGTGAATAATTTTATGAAATACGTTGGCGTCACGGACTTTGAGAAAAGACTGCTTTTGACATGTACAGTCAGGATAGTCCAACTCGCATAAGACCCACCTTGGTGAGTCAGAGGTCATCCCTCGGGCCTTCGGCCCTGACATCACGCACCCCGTTAAGGCCAAATTTATCGATCCGTGACTGAGGCCCAACCTCCTATCATATATATATATATATATATATATATATATATATATATATATATATATATATATATATATATATATATATATATATATATATATGCTCAGTGGCATGAGGATTGATATCCAGAACCTTCATTTTTTCTCCCAGTGACACTGGTGGTTAATATGTATTATGTACCTGTTCTTATGGGACGCCTAATTGGCCAATATTAAACGTACAATGTTAGCAAACAATCCATAATACTTCGGCAATCTCACTCAACTCGACACTACAACATACTTAACATTGTAGAATTTCGTCACGTACCGCAAATGAGTTTATAGCCTTCCTAGTTGTGCCGTGGGCGATGTTTGATTCGCAAACGAACACAAGGAATGCGCTGAAAACAAGGACCGTGTTGACTGCCGCGACCCATCTTTGAATCATCGCTGTACTGAAATCAGAAGTCAACAAAAAATCATGTTCAAAAACCCGAACAAGGTGCTTTGCATCGGACGCAGGTTCGAAACCCACAGAGGGGTGAGGTAAGGTACATTTTACACTGGCGGAAAAAAGGAAGGTTTTGGCTGTATGGGAGGGTGGGGATCCATGACCACTGGGGTACAGTACAGTGACCACCCACCTCGCTCTCGGGAACTACTTAGCCGACGGCAACCGGTCGACCGGACTTTTGAGAGCACTCTAAATGTCTTACAATGAAATTTGGCCTATGTTATTCGTATGTTACAGTGAATTCGGCGCAAGCATAATACGAAGCAATATTCCTTCGTAATACGAATCTTTTTAGCTTTTACATTGAAAGATACAAAGAAAAACCTTCGCAATACGAAGAAATACCACCTTCGTATTATGCTTGCGCCATTTCCTTCGTGGGAAATTTCTTCGTAAGACATTTGGAGTGAGTATCCGATTCTATTTTCAGCCAGAGCCCTACTTTTTAACTTCAACGGTACAACCATAGCACCTCGCCAAAATTTTCGTTACAGCGTTTTGGCTAAATTGGGCATATTTTAAATCTGGGATATTTTTTATCACTCTCACATTAGAGGAGATAAGTTCGATGTCTAAGGTTTTTCTCAAAATGTCGGCTCTCCGACAATATATCCAAGACTCGCGACGCTCGCTGGGGGCTCCGCCCCCAGACCCCTGCATGTGTGGGGCGCGTACCGAAGTATTTTTAGTAAGTCCGTGGTGACCAAAGGCAAACTTTCTAAGGAAGTAAATGTACTGCTTCTTTGAAAGCAGGGATCCTTAACTTACCTCATAAGTGCATCATAACGTTATCATAAGAGTTGTTATTACCCTTAACTTCTAACATCTTTTCAAAAGGGTAAGTTATTTTTTTATGTCTCGAATTTGTGTGGATATACTTTTGCAAGTACTTTCATGAGTCCGTACCCTTAACCTATAGCGAACATTGTCTTATGTTACGTTAAGACAGCAGTGTTAGTTAAATGTTGAGTTAAGTTAAGGATCCCTGTTTGAAACGTCTATTTAACAGCTTTTGACCATATAATTAAGCTACTTTTACTGCCCAAATAGATAGCTTGTATTGCATTGGGGCAGTCAATGGGTGCATACAAGGTCCGGAAAATATTGAAGACTGCTGGGTGATTCCGTGCGTAGGGGGTCATTTCAGGTCACCGGGGCCTTGCGCCTGAACTGAGGTTGATTTGGTAGCTTGGGCAATTCAAATTTGTTTTACTAAACGAAGACCATGTCCTCATGTGGATAAGTCGATCTAACTTCTGTTTATCTGGGTTTCGTAAGCTGCTAAAGTGTCGTTTTGTAAGTTCCGTCATGGTCACCAACACCTATAAGACAACATTGCCATGCTGTAGTATATGACTCAGCCACATCAAAAGAAAACTGGCTATTTCACTCTCTCCCCTGACTTATTCTTCACAAAATTACGGAGGGTGACCTTTGTATCATCACTTGTTGAACCCGAAACAGCCTTTGGGAAAATGTCCACCGTGTGACCATGTGACCTATGCTGTTTTTACAAATGACGGTCTACTGGGGTTCCTTTTCATTTTAGAAACTCGCGACCACATGGGATCGAAAGAACATAAAAAACACTTCCAGAAGCCCGTGCCCACGGGACCTGGGGCGGTCAAACGACGCTTCCAGGCCGTCAGAAGTGTTCAAAACGGTAAGGGTGTAAAAATGGATGTAAATTCCGTTTCGGGCCGTAGCTCCTCCATCTGAGGGAGAAAGTTCCCACAACCTTCGCTGAAAAATGCTATTTTGGATGCTGAAAATGACACCGTCAACAGTTTTTACCTATCTTGTAAGCCAGCGGTTCAGGAGACTAAAAACTTCACTTTGTAAATTCCGTAATCTGTAAATTCCGTCATTATTTCTGTAAATTCCGCCGTATTTCATAGGGAGTGAAAATAAAAGTCAACTTGTAGCGCTGCCACGCTCAGAGGGGTACTGTGGGGTACTATGTATGCCATCTACACCAAATTTAGCCCCTAAAGTTGAACTTTAAAAAAGAACATTTGGTACATCCAAAATGACCCCCTACGCAATCACCCTGCTGTGACAAGGATAGAGGTGAATGGAAAAAATCGCAAGTCTCTACGACCACTCCTTGACCCCAAACATTTCTATATGAGTAAGTGAGTCAGTCAGTCAGTCAGATTGGGGCTATATAGGTTCTTGATGATGATTGATGATGATGATTTACCCCATTGCCGGTGGCGGGGACCCGACTGCGGCACAGTTTCGGAAATTCTCGACCAGACCTACCGAAGGGGCGAATAAAAATTTTTAGTCAGTCGGTCCCCTTTTTAGAAGATTGAGTAGGTTTGCTCGGAAAAGGTGAGGAATTTTCAACTTTTGGGATTTTATCCCATTTTCCTAAAAAATTTGCAATCGAATGGAAAAAACTGCAACTCTCTACTACTACTCCTTGACCCCAAACATAGGGAGTGAGTGAGGGAGTCAGTCAGTCGGATTTTGTGGCTATAGAGGTTCTTGGTGATGATTGATTTTGAGGATGTTGCCGGTGACGGGGACCCGATTACGGCACAGTTTCGGAAATGTCTCGACCAGACCTACCGGTGGGGCGAATAAAAATTTTAAGTTGGTTGGTTCCCTTTTTTTGAAGATTGAATAGGTTTGCTCGGAAACGGTGAGGACTTTTCAACTTTTGGGATTTTTTCCTATTTTCCCATAAAATTTGGGATCGAATTGAAAAAACCGCAAGTCTATACGACCACTCCTTGACCTCAAACATTTCTATGAGTGAGTGAGTGAGTCAGTCAGTCAGTCGAATTGGGGCTATAAAGGTTCTTAATGATGATGATTTACCCCATTGCCGGTGGCGGGGACCCGACTGCGGCAGGCACAGTTTCGGAAATTTTCAACCAGACCTACCGCAGGGGCGAATAAATTTTTTTAGTCGGTCGGTCCCCTTTTCAGAAGATTGAGTAGGTTTGCTCGGAAACGGTAAGGAATTTTCAACTTTGGGGACTTTATCCCATTTTCCTAAAAAAATTGGAATCGAGTGGAAAAAAACTGTGAGGACTTTTCAACTTTTGCGACTTTTTCCTATTTTCCTATACTAGGGGTACGCGCCGTTTTTTTGGGGCGCGTAGTAGGCGAGCGATGCGTCTGTATTCTTGTAGAAGATGGTGAAGAATATATGCAAAGTAAGGCCAATACAGGGTCAATGTGAAACTATATTTTAAAAGTTTGGTCACAAATTGGTAAATTTTGGGGAAAGTAAAGGTCTGGGATGAAATTGGAAGTCATTTTCGTGATCAGCACACCAAAAACTGCAGGAAACTATGTAAAACTCGATGTAAAAATTTTGATCCGAAATTGGTAAATATTTGGAAAAGTAAAGGTCTGAGATGAAATTGGAAGTCATTTTCGTGATCAGCACACCAAAAACTGCAGGAAACCATGTAAAACTCGATGTAAAAATTTTGGTCCAAAATTGGTAAATATTAAGTTAAGGTCTGGGATGACATTGGAAGTCATTTTTGTGATCAGCACACCAAATACTGCAGAAAGCAATGAAACACCGAGGAAATTTTGGTCCTAAATCATGTTATTCTAGTTGAAAGTATGGGTCTTCAGTTGTTAGGTTTTTTAAGAGCGTTTCCTGTTCATAGTGTCATGCCATGAACCCTGTTACTCAGTCGAGTAACATTTAACAGCCAGCATTGAATTGCTTAATACGATTCACAAATACTTCAATTACCATTCGATATCTCCTTGTTACTAAACTTCTGATTACGCAATGTTGTTAGTAATCCCTCAAAAGCCTTTCTCCCTTTTAGTTTAAACTAGTGGATTTAACTATATTGATTTATCTGCATTATCTAAAAAGAGACATATTTACTGGCATGCTGATTTCAACTACTTTACGGAGAAGACCTTCTGTCAGATCCAATGAATCGTTTCATAGAATCCAATGTCGAGGCCACTTATTGCTAAACGCAAGTTTATCTTGTTCATAATGATAGTCCTGGTGTGTTATTTCATCTTTGAAACAGTTTAGCAAAAGTATTTACCTAACATTCTGAGTAAATTAAAAAAAAAAGCCAACTCAAACCATGACCAACACAAATTACCAGTTGTCGTAGACTATGTATGAATTTAAGTTAAAAGAATCGTCTCATGAAATCATATGACCAAGTCAGTGAATCGTCTCATTAAATCTGATGTCAATGTCAAACCTTGAATGCGCTACATGCATTCATCATATGGTTTTCTTTAAGGTTAGTACTATAGTAAACTCACAGCATTGCAATGAAGCCTTTTCCCAGAACCAGTGCCAAGAGTCAGTAAAGACTATTTATTTTGGCAAGATTAGCATCTGGTTTGTACTCATAGAATGTATTAATATATTTTCTAACTGTTATTGAGCAAAGCAAACTAAAAAATATAGTGTCTGAGAATATGAATGGAAATACACTCACAAAGGTTAAAAAGACCAAATCATTCTTGCAATTATCAAACACACTCCACTGACTAAAACATTTCCCCTGTAGCGGGGGAGGGGAGGGGCTGGACGGACGGACGAAACGCGTAATAATTGTCACTTTCATTTTCCGTATTTCACTGAGTTGACACTCCGGAGGGGTTTCAATCATTCTAAAATATCGAAAAACTATGACCGTACTCACTTCTTAGCCCTTCTGCTCTTTAGTTTGTTTTATTTGCCAAGGTTTTGCCGCAAGTATGAAAAATTGCTACGAGCTGCCAACCACTGCCAACCTAACCACGCTAAGAACCTGATTCAAAAAGATGTTTTGAATATTTCAAACAATAGTTATCGTGAATATAAGATAAACTCCCCCTGGGGGAGATTTAGGAGCCTCCCGGTGCGAAATTTTGAAACTATTTGTGCTGTAGTTGCTGAGAAACGTGAGTGAGTTACAGACAGACAGACCGACGCACGACCTGTCACTTTTTGGTACCCCCAAACACGACATGGTAGACCAGCTCTTATTTTGCGAAAGTGAGAATTCCGCTGGGTTCCCTGACTCAAAATGACCGAAATGGTGAGAAAACTCTTAATTCGAAAGCCCAAGGTCGTCAGACTTGCCAAAGCCGTGCCCCAAGACCCTATATAAAGGCAAAACGCCAATATTTTTTTTTTTCGGATTTTCACCAAACTAAGTTTGACTCTAGGGTAATCAGGCCTTAATACGACCCATTGGGCGAAAATTTCGTCCGTTTTGCGATATCTCGACTCCTTCATGCCCAAACGGCCTCCCCAACCGCGAGCATAAAAAAGACGCCGCGCGGGGTGCATTCCATGACACAATAACAGGCCTTGAGACAAAGGTTGTCAGAATCGGCCCAAATTTTTTTTGGTGAGTCTTCCTTACTAGTAGACACTAAAAACAAATTTTTAGATTTTTTGTAATTTTTTTGTAGTTTTAGTCAACCATTTTAACCAAATTTTTACGACAAAAAATAAAAAAATGCAGATATCAAAAAAGACGTCATCATGGATTTGGCTGAAAATTTTTTTGTAGCTTCCCGTATTAGTGTACTAAGAGCCTGCAATCTCCCATTGAGGGCCCCATGTACAGGAATGGAGAAAAAAAATCAGGAACATTGAAATTTGGGTTTTTTCACTGTTTTGGGCTAAATTGACACTCTGAGGGTTCCGTCTCTTGTTTGACCTTAACGCTTGGGTCCCACTATTGAAGAAGCAATCGATTACTTTCAGAAGTCTCATTAGGCAACATCTCAGGCCTATCCTCTCTTGTTTCAGAGTTTTTGAAGCTGGCCATGAAATAAACTAATGGAGTATTTACCTCAATCCCTCCAATTAAAGAAAATACAGGATAATGCAGAATGCAATTACTCTTGCAAATTAAGGGGAGGTTCTGGTGAAAATTTTGCCAGTTTCCAAATGGATCCCAGTGTCATAATTTGTTCGGAATCTTAAATCTTTCTTCGAGGAGACTAAAATTTGAATTTTGAAGGCACATCCCAGGCTCTGAACCCAGTCGAAGAGTCTTTTTGAGCCTATTTTGGCTGTATCTTAAAAAATCTCCTTGCGCATAATATTTTGTCGTAAAAGGTTGACCTTGACATTTTTCACCTCTTCGATTCCTTTTCAAAACATTCCAGCATGCATAGCTCAAAATCTCTATTATATTATTAACTGTAAGCTTTTTAAGCTGAAAAGTCCCTAACATTTGTCTATTTTGTACATTTTTGATCAATTATAGTGAAATGATTGGTTAAAAAGCTTGCGAATGAAAACGTAATTTACATTTTGAGTTGTGCATCCCAGCATCTTTTAAAAATGAATGGAAGAAGTGAAAAGTGTCAAGGCCAACCTTTTACGACAAACTAGTATGCACAAGAAGATTTTTAAAGTTATAGCCTAAATAGGAGTATCCTGTATTTTCTTTGATTGGAGGGATTGAGGTAAATACTCCATTAGTTTATTTCATGGCCAGCTGCAAAAATTCTGAATCAAGAGAGGAGAGGCCTGAGATGTTGCCTAATGAGAGTTCTGAAAGTTATCGATTGCTTCTTCAATAGTGGGACCCAAGCGTTAAGGTCCAACAAGAGACGGAACCCTCAGAGTGTCAATTTAGGCCAAAACAGTGAAAAAAAAACCCAAATTTCAATGTACCTACCTTGGCGTACCTTGGCCTGCGGCGCTAGCCTGCCTTCGGCAGGCATTGGCAATGGCGTCGGTTGCATCTTCCCTGTTGCGTGCTGAGGGGGTCCGACCCCCCCGACCCCCTTCATCAGATAGAATTGCTTTACCTAAAGATAACTGGATCTTAACCCTTTAATCTCTTAAACTTTTCCCGGCTGGGGGGTTCTGCCCCCTAATCCCCCTTTCTTCAAGACAGAAGTGATCTGCCTGCAAAAAAACCCCGATTTTTTTGCCGTTTTCTATGTTTTTAGGGGTTCCCAGGGGTTCCAAGAACCCCTTTTGTCCGAGGTCCGTGGATTCCTCCCCCCCCCCTCTTCGATTTTCAAATAAACAACGCTAAACTATTTCAACTAAAAAAAAACGAAAATTCCAATTTTTTTTCGAAAATTCATCGTGGAAATTTTTCCCTAAACGCGAAAAACATAAATTTGCAACAAACGAAAACCAGAACCGTTCATGATATGAAAAATGGTTCAAATAAAAAAAGTACCACTCCTCAAAACTAAACCTCCTGGCTCATCAAAGTGACAAGAAATTGTCTGTGTTCTGAGAAAATGGTTAAAACATGAAAAAAAAATCGCCATGGCAACGACACGACACCATCATGCCAAATGTCAAAATTTAAAGTGACCCATCAAAAGAAATCAACACGCCGTGAAATTCAAAAATGCCAATGCTAGCGCATTGCACTGTGTCCTGACATTGGAACATCTCTGAAATCCGTCATTGGTAAAACGTTCGTAGCAGAAAAGACGCAATAAATTAATTTTCGTGGGTTGGCAACAATTTTCTCGGTGTCTGCGCCCTTTCGAAAATCACGAGACTGAAAAAACGAGTAGTCGCGCATTGAAACTGCCCCTTCATTGTTGCTGAGGTTGGATTGTTTGGCATGCTTCTGAAGGCTGCGGTTGACTTGTCATGTTTTCCTCAATTCTGTGACCAGCTAAACGGTTGGTTTGACAAACCGCACTCGCACTCCGTAACAAAGGTGTTCTAAAGGAAGGCCCAAAGAACACCCTCCCGTTGAGGGAGAACGATTAGCCGCTTTAGATTAGTCGCAGTGGGTGCCTAAAGTCAGCTCAAACCACGATTTCTGCACATTTGTTACCGTTTTAACAAACTTTGCTGCAATACCGCTCCCAAACTAAGGCGGCTAATCGCACTCCGTAACAAAGGTGTTTCAAAGGAAGGCCCAAAGAACACCCACCCGTTGAGAGAGAACGATTAGCCGCCTTAGATTAGATGCAGTGGCTGCCTAAAGTCAGCCCAAACCACGATTTCTTCACATTTGTTACCGTTTTGACAAACTTTGCTGCAATACCGCTCCAAACTAAGGCGGCTAATCGCACTCCGTAACAAAGGTGTTCTAAAGTAGGCCAAAGAACACCCACCCGTTGAGGGAGAACGATTAGCCGCCTTAGATTAGACGCAGTGGCTGCCTAAAGTTAGGCCAAAACGATGATTTCTACACAATTTGTTACTGTTTCGACAACTTGCTGCAATACCGTTCCCAAACCAGGACTCCTTTTTATTGGTATTTCAAAACTTACTTTTAAACCAGTTATGAAACTGGGAACACCCTGCAATGCGATTAGCATTGGAATTTTTTTATTTTTTGTAGTAAAAATTTGGTTAAAATGGTTGACCAAAACTACAAAAAAATTTCAAAAAATCTAAAAATTTGTTTTTAGTGTCTACTAGTAGGGAAGACTCACCAAAAAATTTGGGCCGATTCTGACAACCTTTGTCTCAAGGCCTGTTATTCTGTCATGGAATGCACCCCGCGCGGCGTCTTTTTTATGCTCGCGGTTGGGGAGGCCGTTTGGGCATGAAGGAGTCGAGATATCGCAAAACGGACGAAATTCGTATTATGGCCTGTTTACCCTAGAGTCAAACTTAATTTGGTATAAGTCCGAAAAAAAATGGCTTTTCAAGAACCTATATAGCCCCAATCCGACTGACTGACTCACTGACTCACTCACTCACTCACTCATAGAAATGTTTGGGGTCAAGGAGTGGTCGTAGAGACTTGCGGTTTTTTCCATTCGATTCCAAATTTTATGGGAAAATTGGGAAAAATCCAAAAAGTTGAAAATTCCTCACCGTTTCCGAGCAAAAACCCCCTTTATCTTCAAAAAAGGGGGCCCCC